TGTCCAAGAGGGGGGGTTCAACTCATGACTGGCGGCATGTGCGCGGCCCAGCGTGGGGGCCAGGGACGTAATGAAATCTGGGGAACTATCATGGCCCCCGCCATGATATCCCCTAGTCATCACCCCCCTTTTTGCCGCCCCCGCCTCCGAAGGATAGGAGGAGAGGCAGCAGCTCCACGAAAGCCCCCCCCGCGGCGCGCAGGAAGCGCTCCCCACGGCATCGAGCCGGGCAGGCGCTCAGGGGCAGGCGACCGTGCCAGCCAGGCCAGGGGTGCCCCGGGCCGGGGACCTTCGAGCGCCGCACCGCCGACGGGGGGCAAGAGCTGCGAGGGTCGACTTCGGGGGCAGCGGCCTGCCAGTCCTACTGCCTGACTGCTGCATGGCGCCGGCGCTGCCCCCGCTCCGCTCTCTCGCCACCTCATCGGGCTGGCCACGCCCGAACTGGTCTGCCTGGTCCATGACGTCAGGGCCAACTGCATACGGCCCTGGCATCGACCTGCACTGGATAGACTTCTGCTCCAGGTCCCTGCCAGAATAGGCAGACAATGATGCACCCGCAGCCGCCAGAGAAGACCACCTCAGGCATGTGCTCAATACCTCGTCGGAGGAAGGGCGCGTGAGGGCTGCGGGCAACCTGGACCTGGACGCATGGACCTAGGAAAGGACGTGCCAGCAGTTCCGCTATGCGCACCTGGTAGAATGGGCCATCTGCCAGTCAGACGACAGCCCCGCCGCTTGAAATGACTCCCGCCCGGCTCTCCCCAGAGGCGTCGCCAAGGTGCCCGCGTGGCTGGACGAGGACGACCTGGCAGTCTTTCTACAGATTTGGGGCCCAAGGCGCTACGCGGACGTCCCCTCCTGCAGCCAGGTGCCTCCTGGCCGGCGCACCGAACACCCGATGTCCACCACGAGGCACGCGTTCAGTCCCTGGCGAGGCCCGACAACCTGGCAGCGGTGCTGCCTGACCTTGCGCCGCTGCCGCTCCCCGCTTTCCCCAGCCTGAAACGTAGTAATGTTACCGACCTGGACAGAGAGATGGCCCTGGGGCCAGTCCCGGAGGTGGTGCACCCAAGCACCCACGTCGCCGCCCGCACTGGCGGCTCATGGCTAACCGTGCGGGATGGGAATAGTGAGCTGTACCTCGCCTGGCCCACCAAAAGAGGCAAGCCCTGCGGGGACACCAGAGGCGAAGCAATTTTTGTATCCGCGGGTCGAGAGCGAGCCTCTTCCGGTCGAAGCTAAGCGGGCTGCGCGCAGCTTTAATTGACAGAGGGGGGAAGGCAGAAGGAGGGGCCTCACGTCAAGGCCAAGAGAGGGCAACGCCCAGGAATCAGGCGGTGCCGAAGGCGATGTGCATGCCCCGAGGCGAAGCAAGCAATCCCGCCCTGGAAGCCGCGCAGGCGGCTGACAGCACAGCCGGGCCCCCAGTCACAGACTCGCCGTACGAGATCGAGGCGCACTGGGGACCCACCCTGCCCAGACGAGGGGAGGCAACTTTGGTCCGGCAGCTGGTCGCACTGGAACCAAGGACGCGACCGCCAGTGGGATCGCACCGCCTGGGCAGAGGGGGACACCAGGGGCACCAACGGCTTGAAGAATTCGAGCGAACGCCCAGACCGGTTGTACCGTAACCCAGGGCGGAAATCTAGTGCGAACCGCAGTGGCGCCGACAGGACAACAAGACTGAGACGTGGGCGGAGGTGGTCAGCGGCCTCAAGGGGACGTGCGGTGCGCCCTTCGTGGAAGGATGGATGAAGGGACCCTGGGACACACAAATAAATAAACACAAATCACAGGATTCCCTATATTTCCCCAGATTGTCTGGGCTTTTCTCCTCCCCCACTTCCATATTTTCCCATATCTTCTTGGGAATCGACGATTACTTGTGTCTTTGTGTTTCTTCCCTCCTCAGTGGAACAAGGCCTGCGATCGGAGGGACGGGAAACGCAACGGCAATGGGACCTGCAACCCCATCGGTTACGATGCCTTCTGCCCAGGCTCTGCTGGAGGAGCTGGCCAGCATTGGCCACGACATCTGGCGCCCCTATAAGAACCAGCGCCTGGAAGTAAATTAGGACACTGTCTGGCAACAGCAGCAGAGCAGACACGTGCAGACGTCCGGCAAGGGGCAGGGAGGCACGAGGCACAGTGAACCCCGCCTGCGTGGCCTGTGAAACACGGAGGCCCCGACGGCCCGCGAGGGGCCGCTGGGGCCTGCAACACACTACGCGCACAGGGTCCCCACCGGCATGCGCACCAATTAGGTGCTTCCGCTTACCTGGATGTGCTGGATCCGTGGGGCCCTCCACCTCAGGGAGCCCCGCTCTGGCGATGCGTGCAACCTGGCCGCAGGTGGCTGTTCCACCTGCCCGGACTCGGCGCGGGCCGCTAGCCACCTGGCCGTGCGCGACTGCGGGGAGCTTTCCGCCGCCCTGGCCCCCCCCCCCGGCTTCCGCCGGCGGAGGCGGCCTCGTTGTGTTTCCGCCGCCCTTCCGCCGAGAAGGAGATGATAACACCTTCGGTCCTCGAAGGCAAGGCCCCTTTCTGGAACGCATCACATGTGCTGCACGCCGTGCGTGTTACGCTTGCAGCTCCTGGCGTTCTCGTTCCTGTCCACACGCTTGTGGCTATCACAAAGCCGCCTGCCCGACGCCCACGCTCTTGGGTGCCGTTTTTGACGCGTCTGGGTTTGAATCAGTAGCAAAATTAAAAGAAACACAAACAATAACAATGATATAATAATAGCAAGACGAATAATAATAACATTGAAAAAAGAAACACATGCCATAAACATAAGCTGTTGGCGCCCCGCGCGGATTTCTTGGAACTGCGCTGGGCCCCCCTCCCTCGCGCGCGGAGCGCGCCAGGGGCCGCGCCCGAGGCGCCGCTGGCGGTGGGGGGGCCCAGCGCGGACCCATGAAATCCGCGCGGAGCGCTAAACGTTTATGTTTGCGGGGCTTTTTCTCCTCCGAAGAACGCGGAAAGAGGGAGGGGACAAAGACGACCCCAGCGATTGGAACAAGAGCTAAGCCCTGTGGACCCCCGCGAGCAGCCGCTCGTCGGCCGTCTGCGCCTGCGCGACCAGGGAGGCCTCCAGTGCCGCCAGGTCCTCCTGCCGACGGCGCGCGCACGGGGGGCCCTTCCGAGTGCTGCTGGGCATGGCCCTGGCGAAGCGTCACCCTGCGGCAGGTTCGCGCGGCGTCGGTGCGCGAGAAGGTCTTCGACGCCGCCTCGACCCTTCAGCCTTGAGCCGATCGCGGCCCCGATCGTTCAAGGCTGAATTCCGTCGGGTCCCCTGGCGTCGCCGCGAGGAGGATGAGGGGGAGGAGGAGGAAGAGGGGGAGGAGGAGGAGGAGGAGGAGGAGGAGGAGGAGAAGGAGGAGGAGGAGGATGGGGGAGGGAGGAGGAGGAGGAGGAGGAGGAGGAGGAGGAGGAGGAGGAGGAGGAGGAGGAGGAGGAGGAGGGGAGGAGGAGGAGGAGGGGAGGAGGAGGAGGAGAGGGAGGAGGAGGAGGAGGAGGAGGAGGAGGAGGAGGAGGAGAGGAGGAGGGGAGGGGGAGGCGGAGGCGGAGGAGGAGGAGGAGGAGGAGGCGGACGAGGTGGAGGAGGAGGAGGAGGCGGAGGCTGAAGAGGAGACGGAGGCGGAGGAAGGGAGGTAGAAGGAGGAGAAGGAGGAGGAGGAGGAGGAGGAGGAAAAGCAGAAGCATAAGGAGGAGGAGGAGGAGGAGGATGAGGAGGAGGAGCCCAGCGTAGGGGGGGCGGCGCGTGTCTCCCCGCCTACAGGAAGGCGAGCGGGGTGGGCGCGCCTGTGACGTCCACCACGACGGAGCCCGTCGCGTCCGCGTGGGCGGAAGGGGCGAAGGCCGCGGGTCGGCCGACGCAGATAGCCGTATTTATATCAAGGGAGGAAAACCTTGATGACCTAATGATGGCGGGCGGCGATGCAGGCATGGGGGAGAGGGGGCGAGGCGAGACAGCAGAGGGCAGCAGCAGGGGGGACTCGAGGGGCGGAGCGGAGGGGGAAACAACGGGCGACAAAAACGATGATACAATCGGGCACAGGTGAGCAGGGAAGGCGGTGATGCGACGCAGTGGGAGGAGAGACGGGCGGGGAGCAAGCATCGGCATGGGCAGAGCTCGGAGTGAAGGACGAGGAGAGGGAGGGAAAAGTATGATCGGCAGCTGGGACACGCGCAGGGCTGATGGGAGAGGCCGAGCTGGGAAGATGATGCGATGTCACGGGCAACGGAGCGACGGGCGGGGGGGAGGGGGCAGGAGACAACAGGAGGGCATCAGGACGCGCCACCACGGTCGGCGAGGTCACTGAGGAGGAGGGCGAAGCTGCCGCGCCTGTGGACATCGATGCCGAGTGTCAGTGGTGTAGACGGCGGAATTGATGTCCGACCGCGGGAGGGCTCGACCGCCACAGGATTACGACCGGCAAGTGGCGACGGCGAGCCCGAACACGACAACGGGACTTGCGATCTAACGCCATCGGACAGCAGTCCAGATTCACGGCAAAACGCATGTGGCGACGGCGAGCCCGAACACGACAACGGGACTTGCGTTCTAACACCACCAGCGCGGAGTTCGCCTCCGAAGGATCCCAAACGTGGCGACGTGCTGCCCGAACGCGACAACGGGACTTGCGCTCTAACGCCGCGGCCCGAGTGGGGCAGGTCGAGGCATCCGACAAAAGGCGACGGTGAGCCCGAGCACGACAACGGGACTTGCGATCTAACGCCGAGAAGAGGCGACGAGGGCGCGGAACATCCCGTCGTCAACGTCACTGGCGAGGACGTCACCCGTGCACCGCGCGAAACAAGAGACGACAGTGTCACTGGCGAGGGCGGCGTCGCACATGCACCGCTCGAAATAGGGGGCAACAGCGCCATCGACGACCTGGAAGCCGCCCTTCGCGGAGCACGCGCGGACACTGGCGAGGGCGGCGTCACGCGTGCACCGCGCGAAATAGGAGACAACGACGTCACTGGCGAGGTCGGCGTCATGCAAGCCCAGCTCGAAATAGGAGACGGCAGCGCCATCGGCGATCCTGAAGCCGCCCTTCGCGGGGCTCGCGCGGACGCCAAGGGGGGGGGCCGCCGTCGGAGAAGATGGGGGGCGCGTCGGAGGCGTGGCCGAGGCCGTGGGCGTGCATGGAGTAGCCGAACTCGGAGGGCAGGATGGGGCGGAACCGAGCGCGAGAGAACGAACACGGCGAGAGGGGGGCGGGACTCTGGACGTCGGGCGGGGCAGGCGAGTCGCAGATGATGTGTCCTCCGCGGGGGGGCTCGGCGGGGGCAGGCGCTCGATCAGAAAGTCTTCGGTCCTGGGCGAGCGGATCGGCAAGCAGGATGAGGAAGAGCATGTGCTGCTGGATCCCAGCGCGGATGAGGCTCGTGCCGTGCTCGCAGTGCCGCTGTCAGGGTCGGGGGCGGCGGATGACGCAGATGAGGTCGATGCGGCCAGCGCCGTGGGCGTGGGCAAGAGCGTGGCGATCGGCTGGGGCCGAGTGCGCGGACATGAGGGCGGGGTCGAACTCGAGCTTGACACCGCAGGGGTGAGCCTCGGTGATGAGGGCGCCGAGCCACTGGAGTCGGACGGGCTCGACGGTGGAGAATGGATGTGGTAGTCTCTGCGGGCGAGCTGCCTCCTTTCGGTCGCCGACGTAGCCTGAGGCGTGGCCGGCATCGCCGCTCTCGCACCAGCAACCGCACAGCTCCGAATGGCTGCAGGGGAATGTGGCCATGAGTCACTCAGACGGGCCTCATTGTACGTGTTGTAGGCAGCCGCGAGCACAGAGTAGGATTGGCACGAGGGGCGGCGCATGCCCCATCTTGACGGGAAGTCGAGGGCGAAGGGGCGGGCCAGCGCGCGTCGAAGAGCCGACCAGAGGACAGGGCAGCGGGCGTAGTGCTTGAGCGTGTCCCCCTTGCCAAGGCAGCCAAATGCGCAGGGACGCTTCCCATGCGGCGATATGACGCGGGCGGATGTCATCCAACCATCGGACCACGAGCGGATCACCGCCCACGCCCACGAGCACGGACACCGCCGAAGAACGGCCTGGCAGGCGTCCCAGTCCACATAGCACAGGGAGCTGGCGTGCTGGCCAGCAATCTTGGCAAGGCGCAGGGTGAACAGGGCACGGGGAGGACGTGCCGCCAGCGACGCTTCGCGCAATGCAGCATGTGCGGCACGCTGAGGGCGGGGGCGAGAGCGGCCACCGAGGTCCAGCGCCGCCAGGGCCGCGGCGGCGGCCGAAAGCGGCCAGCGGACCAGGAGGAGGGCGACCAGCAGCAGCGGCCTCCAGGTTCTCGACGAGCGCGGGCGCCTTCCAGAAGTTGGGGTAGGGGAGGCCCGTGGCGAGCATATCGAAAGTGGTCCATTCGGGGTGTCCGTCAGCATGTGCCCGAAGCGCTGCCATCAATTGGGGCCAGCATTGGAAGTTGAGCGTGGCGGCGCGAGTGCTGGTGGCGGTCGTGAGGTCTCCCCAGCGAATGCAGCGCGGACCGCCCCAGCGGTCGAACTAGGACCAGGCGTCGAGGTGCAGCGCGCCGAGAGGAAGCCTGAACACCTGCGCAAGCACCGTCAGTTCTGGCTGGAGAACGGACTTCGGAGGCCAGCAGAACTGAGCAACGTATGAGAGTGTGTTGACCGCCCTCGTGTTGTAGAGAATGGCGGAATGACTAGCAGGGGTAGTGCTGTGTCCAATAGCTTGAGCCCTCAAACGGAGCTTCGAAAGTGGCCCACTCCATGAAATAGAGGGGGAGACAGCGGGGCCTAGCCAGATGCCAAGATACAGCAACTGCGAGGTGATCTCGAACCCGATCCACTCAGGAATCTCCCTCGCGATAGCGCCCCGAACGTCCCTAGCCAGCGCCGCGGAGAAGGGGCCAGAGAGGGGAACCACCTTGCACTTCGCCGCTTTCAGGTCCAAGTTAGCCATAGCCGAGGCACATGACATGGCCTGTGAGACCTCTGAGAGGGCCTGGGCGGATCTCAGGGCGCCGCCGATATCATCAGCACAGGCTCTGGCAAGGCCTAACTGAGGGCCCTCCACCTTCTCAGCCAGGTCCACGAGGAACGCGGCCGCGCCCAGGGCGCGCAGAGTACCAGAGAGGGGACAGCCCTGGATGATACCGCTCTGGATCCAGAAGACGTGCTCGAGATGACCCTTGTGCAACGTGACCCCTTCGATCGACGAGTAGATGGACGCAGCGAACTGCGCGAGGGGGCCGGGGGGCCCATGCGGCGGAGGCAGCACATCAGGAAGTCTTGGTTTATAGAGGGGAAGGCCAGGCCGACATCGAGGGGTAACATGGCAGGGATGTCGCGGGAGGCGTGGGGCGTGACAGACAAGATCCTGCTCGGGACGTCCAGCTCGAGGATGTTGACCACGAAGCTCCGACCAGGCATAAATCCGCGCTGGCACGGAGGCGCCGGGGCCTGCAAAGCAGGGCGGGTGGCGCGGTTGACCGCCGCGGATATGATCTTGAGGTCGCAATTCCGAAGCCCCAAGACCCGAACTTTGTCAGGAGAACGAATGCACGTGCGGTCAGCGAGCTCGGCGTCCGTGACATTCTCAGGGGGGAAGATCTGGACCGTGTCCCCCGAACAGGCGAAGAGCTCCTGGCCCTCGAGGATCCACTCGAGAGCCCCCCAGAGAATATCAACGCTAATGCGGGAGGCCGCCCGCGCAGCATGCGGTAGGGCATCGGGTCCAGGGGCAGAGTGGCGAGCAGTGCGAATAGCCCGTCTGATCAACCCCTTCGACGGCGGCGTCAGCGCAATATGATGAGCAGTAGGTAGGTGGCGGCGGAGGTAGACGTCGGCGGCAGCAGCGTCCCAAGACTTCTTGCGAAACACAGGCGCCCAATAAGCAGAGAGCTCACGGATGCGATCCTCAGGGTCGGTGGCGATCCTTCCATCATCCAGGGCGACGCCAGACAGCGATATGCGGCGATTCAGCGGTGACCAAAGACGAGCCCTTGGTTTCAGCGCCCGAAGTTGACAGCGAGTCTGAAACCGATCCCCCTCACGATGTTGCGCAGCATCGGGACTTTTCCGAGCACTCTCAGCAGCCTCGCTCTAGACCTGGTCGACCCAAGCCTGGGGCGACGGGGGGTGGCGAAGCTCGACGCGCCCCGACGCTAACGAGATGAAGTCGCCCGCGAGCGGGTGGGGGTCCAGGGGGCGGGCGGCGAGCGAACGGTCCTGGCGCCAAACCACCCGAGCAAGCGACCGCGCAAGCTGGACAAGCGTGGCAGGATGATGGGGGCGATGAAGGAAGAGGGTATCCCCGGTCTGAGCTGCAGCGATCTTCAATAGCTCTTTGTATTTCTCCAGCTTGACAGGGGGTGACATCGCTTCCCAATGTGCAGCGCTGCACAGACCTTCCAGACGCCGCCGAAATTCAGGAGCGCCAGATATGTGTTTCTGGATGGGCCTGGTGCTCGGAGGGCGAACAGCTCGAGCGGACATAGTGAGAAGAACCGCTGCGTGGTCTGAGATCCTGCGCTCGGGTAGGGCCTCGGGAGTACCAATCGTGCAGACCTGAGAGTGAACTTGACATCTGCCAACCCGAGAGCGAGCAGAAGATACGATCGATGGAAGAACACGAGCCAGATGATGTTTCGAAGTGCGAGGGGTCCTCGCACGCAATCTCGGTGAGGCAAGCGAGCGCCTCTCGCCAGCGAGGCTCCTGCCCATGGTGCCGCCTGTCACCGCGACGGACGGCTGCGGCAGGGGGCGCAAGCACCAACGCATCGTGCACGGCAAAATTGAAGTCGCCCAGCACAAATGCGGTGTACATGTCGGGGTCCTCCTGCGCGCGTAGTCGTGAGGCCTTGATAGCCTCAACGGCATGGCGGATGTCGGAGTGGGAGAGCTCGTGGTTGTGGATGTTGAAAATATCCGCCATATGAGAGGCCGAAGATATCGCGACAACGTGCGCGCGCCCAGGAATGAGCACCCTCTGCGCTGTAGTCGGTAGTGCCCCGTTGGAGCCCGCGAGAGGAGGAACCAATATAGCCGCGCCGCCGCGAATGTGGCCCGACGCTGGGTCCTGGTCGAAACTGGGGAAGACTGAGATGTCATTCGCGATGGTCGCAATGAACGAGACGAGCTGGTGGTGGTCCTGGTGGATCTCCTGGGGCGCAATGATAGTGCATGCTGGGCGAATGCTGCTGAGGTGCGACTTCTTGGTGCGGGCCCTGTCACCCCCGGCCTGGAGCAAGGCTCTAGCATTCCACGTCGCCAACCTCAAGGTGGGAATCTCGGGCGAGAGAGCACTGGGAGCAAGTAGGGCGGCGGCGCTAAAGAGACCGCTGTGGCGGATCCGAGGGGTGGGTGATGTCGCGGCAGGCCGCGCGGAGGGTCTCCACATCCATGCCGTGCCTGGCGAGAATGGCGATGTCCCAGCAAATCTTGGGCGGTGCGTCCCCGTGCGCAACCTGAATCTGCATGAACTTGTCCCAGCCGATCGAGAGGGCGCCGCGCTCCTTGTCGGAGAAGAGCCGCCTGCCTGGGTACTGGAGTTCGACAGCCTGTCGAACCTTGCGGAGGGAGATCTCCAACTTGATGCGCTTGGGGGTCTTGTCGGGGCCCAAGTGGAGCCTGCGCCTTTCAGCTCCAGGAGGGGTGGCCCAGAACTCCTTCCAACCCGACTGGTCGCGCAGGCTCGACATGGCGGAGCGGGCCTTCCGAGCGGCAGCGCCTGACGGACCTTTAAACTGAACCTCGAGCCGGCGAGCTGGGGCAGCGCCACGAAGCACAATGGAGTAGTCCTCGCTGGTGAAATTGAGGCCCTCGAGCCAGGGCTGGAGGGAGGCGACGATGCTGGCCTGGGTGGTGGGCTTCTGAGAGACAGCGACAACGATGGTGCAGTCATCGGCGCGCTCGAATGACGAGGGAGGGGGCTGTTCATCACGAGGGGCTGCGGCGGCAATGGCAAGCTGCTTACGAAGCTCCGCGATCTGTTCGCGAAGGGCCTCGATGTCGGAATCGTGGCGATCGAGCCTGGTCTCGGCGGCAAGTAACTGGGCCGTGTGTTCGTCGATCTGAGACTGGAAGCGTCGGCTGACCGCGTCGAGCCGAGGGGCGAGCGCGGACTGGACCTGTTGCTCGACGGCGGTGGCTTGCTTGGCGACCTCCGCCTGCATGGCCGAGAGCATGATGAGAAGAGTGGTGTGGTTCTCGCCGACAGTCTTGGACACGCTGCTACTGACTTCTGCTGTGATGGTGCCACGCATGGGCTGGAACTCCTCACGGCACACCTGCCTGAGGTATTCATCTGATGTGAAGTCATCGTCGTCCATGTCGGCGGGGCCGTCGGAGCCTGGGTCGACAGGAACGTCAGCAGCGAGCCGCTTACGAGCACCATAACGAAGAGAGCCTTTGCCTTTGCCCGCAGCACGAGCGGGGGACTCCTGACTGGGGATGGTCGGTACAGAGTCGACGGCCTCGGCGAGCTCACGGAGCTCCTGGGGCGCGAGGGGGGCGCCATCGGCCATGACACGAGGGAGGAGGGGATGTCCGCCAGCTGCTGAAAGCTGGATAGCCCCGAAGGAGGGCTGCCTCACTCAAAACGGGCCTGTCCCGATCTGGAGCCAAAATGGCAACGGAGGAGGAGGGGGGGGAGGAGGAGGAGGCGTGCAGTGGCACGTGATATGACTCCTCTCCTCCCGACAGCGATGGCGACGCAATGCAGTAAGGCTGTGTTTTCTGTGTCGATCGCTCGCACAGTACACAACTATGACGCGTCTTGAGCCAGTACATTACAGTACGGGCAGTGAATTCGCCGGGCCCCCGGTGAGCTCTAGAGGGCCCCGAGAGAGGAACGTGTGAGGTATGTAACAACTTACTCTCGTGATGGCTTAGTCTACGCAGTAGGCTCTGTGGCCCATGGCTAATTTGACGGCAACGAAGGTGAGGAGGAACTAATTATTACAACTTCACATAAGCAATAGCGTGTGATACGCGGCGGCTAGACGGTGGCGATGGCAGGCAACAACAAAACAAATGACAACAAGCTGGCCTAACGTACTTGATCTTCTCGCAGTAGCCGTGCCCCTCGTGGAGGTCATACTTCTGCACTATAACGCTCCACAGGTGGCCGATGAACTGTGTCGCTCTGATGCTCTTCGGTTGGCACTCGTCGTTCAGCGTTTCTTCTTGTCGACGGTCTGGGACTTCGAACTCCATCTCTTTGGTTCGTGCTGTGGTCGCCACTCACCCTGATTCAATGCGTTCATGACGTCGAATCTACTGATACTGCCCTTGGTGAGTCCGTCACACAGCATGTCCCTCGTATCTATCCATATCAATTCTGCTATGATGCCACGGTCCAACCACTCTCGCACTTTCATCACTGTGTATGCTAAGTGTCGCTCAGTCGGAAGTTGGACCTCGGTGGCCGTACATGCTTTGAAAAATGACTCGCTATCCGTGAAGACTATGATCTTCCTGCTGAAACCACCTCGCTCTGCGTGTGTCGCCAGTTGGGTAGCCGTCTGCGAGCCTCTGTCAACTTCATGTAGGAGACCTGCCAATACAATGCACATAGATGCTGCGTCTCCCACTGCTCCTGCTTCTGCGCTGAATGTATTCCTATTCACTCTGGATTGCTTCTTGCTAGTCGTTACGAACATGTGTAGTTTGCCTCCGATCTTCGTGCTGGTGTGCTGACACAATCCCATGATGTCAGCTCGAAGTGCTAGGCAATCTGGTTCATCTGCTCTGAAAGCTGAATCCACAATACAATATAAAGCTGTGTCTCCCATCATCTGTGAATATCGAACTCCTGCATGATGTGTCTGGATCCATTTCAAACTTAGATTCAAGACCTGTGCGTGCTTGTGCTTGAGCTGTTTGGCGTTACGCTGACATAGTCCAACGAAAACTTGTATTTCTGGTCTTGATTGAGTTACCCATGACAACGCTCCCAAGAGACTCCTTGCCAAGGTGTGCAATTCTATGCTGAGATCGTCATCTGGTCGGTGAGCTGAATGAGCTGGCAAGGGTATCATGTGCAACTCCGCGATGTAGCCCTTCTGATGTATGTAGATCGACTTCTTGTCCGTCGTCTGCTCGTGCTCCACTCCCAGATACGTGAACTTGTTCATATGTTTGCTGCACTTGCCAAATGCAGTCTCCAATGCCTTCCATAGTTCTTCTCGTGCTGAAGTCGTCGATGATCCTTTTAAGTCATCCAGATGACCGCAAACCAATGAAATACACTTATTCTGGTTGTCGTGCCTCATGTACAGCTTGTTGTCTGTCTTGCTTGGAATATGGTGCGTCGCATTCATAACCTGTGCCAACTTCAAGGTAAACAATCTCGGTGCGTCCTTCAGTCCCCATATCGGTCGCAAAATACGTAGGCAGTGTTTCTCATGATTGAAGCCCTCCCAGCCTTTGAACGTCCTCAAAACGGAAGCTGTCTTGGCGTCTACAATAAGCTGAACTTGCCTGATCAAGCCGTCCGTCGTCATTTGATTGATCTCGTCGAACGTAAGGCCTTTGAGGAAAGCTCCTGAGATATCCAGTGCCCACAAATCATACTCATTCTGGCATGCGTGACTGTTCACCACTCGTGTGCTGTACCGGGCTGCGGTTCCGCTGAAAGTCTCCACCTGGGACTGCCTGTCCTTGAACCCCCTCAGCGTCCATCTGCCTTTTACCTCGCGTTGCTCTTTACCATCTAGAATCATGATCTTCCACTTGAAAACCCATGTGCCGTCGACGAGGTTGGTGGCGTCCCGCTTGAGCATGATGCCAACGCTCTCGAGCTCCAGCCACTGCTGCAACTCTCTTTTCATAGAACTGATAACCTTTTCATGATGTTGTCGCTGATCATCTGCGCTGAGGTTGTGAAGATCTCGTTTGATAACTTGGCTGCTGAGCTTAGTCTTAGATAAGAAATAAACCAAGTCATACCCCTCGGGAATACGCTGCTTCGTTCGAAACTCCAGATTAGCGATATACCAAGGTAAAGCAAACTCCGCCACGGGTTCCTCGCGCTCGAAGTGAAACGTCATGTCCCTTGACTGGTCCACCAAATCGTGCTTCGTCTGCTGAGCCGGTGCCTCGAAGTACTCGAACTCGGACTGGTCGAAATCGTCGTTCGTGCTCCTTCGCTTGAGCAGGGGCTCTGGATTCCTGCTCGTGATATACGCCTTGAACTCGTCCATTGTCGTGGGTAGCCTGACCTCATTGCCGCGGTGGTCGCAGTAGAGGTCGTCGCCTTCCGCAATGCGCCAGCCTCCGTCACCTGAATCTGGTGGTGGTCCGCGATCGTCGACGCCCGTCCCGGGCTCGAAGTCCTCGTCGCTGACTTCCTCGGTCGTTGTAGGTGAGGCTGGTCGTACTGCGGGTGTCGTGGGTGCTGCTGTTGATGCCGCTGCGCCTGAGGAGGGTGCTGCTGCGCCTGCAGTCGGTGGCTCGTAATGTGGGGGGTCCAGGATAGGTCCTTCGTCTCGGTCAACTGCTGGATCTGGTCGTTGACGTCGGTCTGCCGGTGCCGTTCGGTCCTTTTCTTCTTCCTCGTGGGGCAGCGTGCGATACTTGTGTGCTCGGTCGTCGTCGTGAACTCCGTCATGTTTTCTTCTTCTTCGTGGTGCTCTTTCTTCTTCTTCAGGAGGGGGTACCGCCGCTGGTGCTTCAGGTACTCGGTCTGGTTGTGGAGGTGCCGGAGGTGCTGGGTTCATGTCCATGTCTCCTGGCACTTCTACTTGATCACCGTCGTCTTGGTCTTGATGACGCTGCTTGAAGAAGAACTGCACAAATGATATTTTCCACCAATACGCCTCTGGCCGCTCATCTTCACAAAGAATTCGCTTCCAGTCCACGTAGGTACTGCCATACTGAATCGTATAATAGCGTACTGATGAATGCTTATACCACCATACCAGGAATGAGCTTGGCATTTCTGGTAGATTTTGAAGATGATGCATGCCACAGCCAATCCGTGCTCCAAGACAATGTCGTACTCCTGCCAGAAGTGCTAGATGGATGATGGCGCTCCACAACTTGGGATACTGTGTGGTACTGCGTGTAAGTTCCCATCGTCCTGTCGAGGATACACACCAACCAAATCGTAACACCGCCCTTGAGCAGGAGTCTGCAAACTTGGTCACCTGCGTCATGACTGTGCTGATGCTCGTGATACTGCTGTCCTGACTGCTCGCAAAATGGAGAAACTCCAAGTACAGCGCCTTCCTGATGTCCGCGATTCGTACCGACATGGGGCGTCCTTGCCATTTACAATGTACAAGTCCGTCTCGCATATCTGACATGTCCGTGATCTTGCATGGTCCAATCCAGTTGGTGATGCCCTTCTTGTCGGTCTTCCTCAAGATGTCCACGAAGTCTCCAACCTGCAATTCGAGACCCTGTCCTGAGGTCCGCGTCTGAGACTCCAGAGCTCGCTGTATTCTTGCTGTAGCCGTGGCTTCCACCATTGCCGTGTTCGCTAGTTCGCGTATGCGATGAACATGTCGGGTTAAGCCTGGTAGTCCTCCCACGTCGTCCTGCAGGGGCGCTGCGCTCACTTGATCAAGATCTTGAAGCTGTGCTGGTTGTCGTCCGTAGAGCGCCTGATAGGGAGAGAAACCACCAACATTCAACAACTGATTGTGTGCCATGAAGGCCTCCGCCACGATGTACTCGTCCGGTATGGCCGTGTCCAATTCTTCTGCTTGGGACTTGATGCGCCGTATGGTGTTGCGAACTATCTCATGGTGTCGTTCAACGATGGCTGCCTTGGAGCCCACTGGCTTGGCTCGTCTCTGAATCTGATGTTGATCACAATAAATACGAGCTTCGTCTGATTCCAGGGCTCCTTCTTGATCTGCAATGAGATGCTGAGGTGGTCCGTGTATCGTGACCCAGGTCAGGTGAATCACGCGTAGAATTTCTGGGGGTTCTTTACTGGCTGCAACTCCGCCTCCAGAAAACCTCAAGCATTCGTCGATGAGATGTACCACAATGAGTTCACCCACAAACAATAGGTCCACCTGCACGTACTCGTTGAACGTGAGTGACAAACGCATGGTCGGCATGTTATTCGGTGCTGGCCGCTGCCACATCCGACACGCCCTGCAGGTGTCCACGATGTCGTGCGCCATCTTGCAGACTTCCATAGGCACGCCGGCGTTCTGCAACATCCTGATCATGTCGTGTGCCTGCGCGTGCCACCATCTGATATGAAGTACTCGTAGAGTTCGCCGTACAAGATTCATGTCTGCCGACTTGAGTTGATGCAATGCTCGTCCAAGGTCATACGGTGACCATGTTCGCATATCCGTCATGGTAGGTAATCCGTCGCCCTCGGTCTGCGCGCCTCCTGAGCGAAATCGTTGTACTTCACCGCTGCCGGTTCCACCACGCTGTCGTGGCGCATCTGCCAGCCGCAAACGTCCTTCGCCTTCTGCTGGTGCTGCTGCTGCTGCGGCGGAAGCCGCCGGTGCTGGTGCTACTGCTGCTGCTGCGGCGGGAGCCGCCGGTGCTGGTGCTTCAGGAGGAGGAGGAAGCGGAAGCTCCAGTCCTGGGTCGGGATCCACTCGATTGGCTGCTGTGGGTTCGTCGTGAAGACGAGGTCGTGGATCTCGAGGTAGCTTCGTTGCCTTCCGCTTGCCTGATATCCTGATAGCCGCTTCTCCCCACTTGCAGTCGAGGCCGTATGTGTGTCCTGCGTGATCTCGGGGCTTGAACGTCTTGCAAGATGGACAAGCCCATTCTCTTGGTGCAATCATTGATCGCAAACATGAACTCGGATCTCTGGTGTGCCTGGGGTCAAACATGTCTCGATTTGATCTGCAAGCCGAACACTTGACCCAATCAGGCATCTTAGACTCGACCCTGCGCTTCCTGGGTGCCTGGCCGGCCGCGGTTGGCACCGCTGCTGCAGCTGCTGCCGATGCTGCCTCAACGGGAGGTGCAACTGCCGCAAGAGGATCTGGTGCCGGCGGTAGTGGTGCCGATGCTGCCGCTGCCGCGGCCGCTGCCGGTCTCTGACGTCGCTTGGGTCGCCTCCGTGCTGCCGCTGCTGCTCCTGGTGCTTGTTCTTCTTCGCTCTCGCTTTCGTCGTCGCCCGCCGGGAAGAATGTTTGGTGTAATCGCAGGTGCCGAAGTAGGTCGTGAATGCCTGTAGCAACCGACTTGGCCATTTCCCATGTCCATAGCCGTGCGTCGTGAGACCGACCGCCTGATATAGTGGCATGTTGGTGACTGCGATCACATTTCAGATTCAACAGCGGTCTGATCAACAAGTAGTGCGATGCCCAAAATTCGGTGGGCTTTAACAAGTGTAAGAAGGGAGGTCTGTTCTCGCGAAGGTTGGTCATACACTGATGAACAATGCACCAATGGAGCTGGAGATGATTCCGTATGTAATCCCATTCTGGCATGTTGTACATCTCCGTCGTCTGCGGATGTTCCGATAGAAAATGCCGATGATGTCGTAGTTGGAATTCTGCAACTCTGCCTGCAAGCTTAGCGAGGGGTACGGACGTCCGCCTACTCTGCTTCCAGGTCTCCGGGTTGGTGAACTTGTTCAATGTCTGCCAGCCTGCTAGTCCTGTGCAGGGAACGCTGAGAATCGTGATCAGAACCTTGTTCGATTTGAGATACTGCCAAAGTGCCGCTTCTTGCGTGGGGTCCAAGAGATCGATGCCTACAATGATGTCGAAGTTAAGCCCGATCTTGGTCTCGTGGAAGCGGTGGATCAGTATCTGTGATGTTCTAGCGTTACCTCCACATATCTCCACAACGTCGATGTAGTGGTCCCTGCTCTGTGAGCTATACTGAGCGGGATAAGACCAATCTGCCATAAAGCTGGTGAACGCGTCGTACTTGAACTGCTTTGGCACGTGGCTGTAGGTCTTGTCGTTGGTGTCTGACCCACTCAAGCCTCGTAGCGAAGAGACAAACACCGAGCAGGTGTCTTGGTCCTGTTCGTTGTCCATGAGTTGGTCCTTGTCGTCGTAGATCTCGGTGCTGGTCTGGTTGAGTGTCCACAGCGCCTGCTTGAGACTAGAGTCGTCGAGCCCGCAGTCGTCGAAGTGCTGCTCCACCTTGAACTTCTTCTTCTTGCTCGGCGTGGCGTGCGTTGGGTCGATGGCCTGTGCTTTCCGATGCCGCTCTCTCTCTTTAGCCCGAACAGCTGCATCGGTAGGGTATGCCGTGGAATCTTCATCGAGAACGTCGAACATAACCTGGTCGCCACTGCTGTTGTCCGTCGTCCTCGGAGGGGAGTGCGCTGATACCGATGTAGCCGTCGGTGGTGTAACAACTTGCTCTCGTGATGGCTTGTGCTCTGCCTTGAACAACAAATCAAGGAGGCTCGCGACTGCCGCCGGTGCCTCCGCGTGGTCGATCATGCCCGGAGCGCCCAAATCAAAGTTGGCCTCCAGGCGGATGGTCGAGGTGTGACTGCCATCCTGAAGCCGCACCATGGTAGTCTTCAGGCTGCCGCTCTCGTGCTGCTTGCCGATGAAGTCGCTGAAGTGGTGCTGTCACCACACTGCCTGCACGCGCTCGTTGGCCTCAAGAAGAACCGATCGTTGTAGTGATATCTGCTGTTCGCTGAGCTGGCTGATAAGCTGGAGTCGTCGCCGATGCGATCTCGTAAACTGTCCTGTCGTAGGAGGTCCTGGAACGCATACCCACAACAGAACTGGCCGATGATGATGTAATAACGTCTGCATGTGATTGCTGCTGTTCGCCGTGGTGTGCCGTGAACTATGATTGTAGAGCTGGACCTTGAAGCGCTGACTACATGCATAACTTCGTTGGCTGTCAACGTCGTCAATGATCCAAATTGTGGGTATGGAATTGTCATGCACGGGGGAAGGAGATCTTGGCAGAGATAGAGTTGGGGTGTTGCCGTGCGTCTTGACAACGGCTTGCTCCCTCCGGGGAGCCTCGGCGGGACGCACCGCCGAGCGGCCGACTCCCTAGTGGGAGGTCCTGGCCACGACGTCGCTCTGGTGCTCCGTCGCGTACTGCGGCTCCGCCTTGAAGGTGACCTTCCTCTTGTGCTTGTCGAACTCCGTGCATGGTACCAGCGGGTGTCCACTCATGCTGCTCTCGATCTTCAGCGTAGAAGTACCATGAGGTGTGTTAATGTATACTCGGCCTGGCCCACATAAATGTATCTCGTTATTGACCAGGTCGATGACTGCCCGCTGATGTCGCATAGACTTGATGCCCCACAACGCTGGTATTGTAGATGGATCCTCCTCGGTGCCGACGACTGGGGCCGTGTAGGTAGTGTCGCTCTTCACATCGTTCGCGATGACCTTTAGAGGAATCGTGATGGCCCATTCGACGAGTTGGCTCTCCTTGCCGACACCTGACACGTTGATGGGCTTGGGAAGCTTTTGCCACTTCACCTTGTCCATCATGCCTTGCTCGCTCAAGATGTTCAGGACGCGCTTGATGAACAGGTTGCCCACCAGATTGTCGTGTGCGCCAGTGTCCACCAGAAGTCCTTCACGTCCTTCGCCTGGCAACTTCGTCTTGAGGAGGAAGATCTGCTCGTCGTTCAGGTTCGCCATGTTGAAACTGCTGGTCTCGTCCAGCTCCACGTCCAGGTTCCACCAGGGGAAGAATCTCGCTGATATCTGTTCTCCGTCGTTCGCCGTCTGATCCAAGATGCGAAGCTGATGCAAGATCGATGTATGTTGATGTTCTGCCGCGACTGCCTGCTGAGGCTGTTGGGGATTGAAGCTCCTGGTCATCAGTTCCCGCAGCTGTCGCTCCTGGTGTGTGACGTGGTCCGTGTTGATGTCCGTCGGGATGCCCGTGCCGTCTGCGACGATCTGAGACCATTCCAAGACTGGTGCGTACGTCGCTGGCTCCTCGTGGGGTTCGTGACGCTGATGTTGATGTCCTGCATGAAAGAAATGTTGCTGCATCATATACATGTGCCCGGGTGCCATAGATTGATCCTGTCCGCCTGCTGGGGGAGATGCCGATGCCGATGCCGAACCTGCCGCATGCGTCAGGTGGTGAAGCTTGGGGCAATTCCTCCGCAGGTGTTCGTCGCTACCGCACTCGTGGCACTTCATCGCTTCGCCTGTGACTGGGTCCTTTCTGTTCTTGCCGTGTCCACGGAAGCTGCTGCCCTTCCCCTTTCCACCCTTGAAGTACGTGGGGTCGTGCTGCTCTTCGACGGGGAAGTGGCTTGGCTTGCCGAATTGTCGCCGAAATCCTCCTTTGCCTTGTCCTGAGCGCCGACCGTAGTATCGCCGATTGGACCGTCTGACCTTCGTCGTCTTCTTCGTGTAGGCTCTATAACGCTTCTTTATGTTGAGGTATGTCTCGTACAACACCGTCGTGATATTCGTCCTGTTGGCCGGCACTCCAGGGGGGAGGAGATTCGATGCATATGCCTCTATTGCCTCGTCCGTACACTCTGGGTCCTGCTGGTCTTCGTCCGACTCCGTGTCGCTGTCGCCAAAGAAATCCTCCATCATGTAGTGCTCATCTGGCGTGTTGACGTACGGGTCGCTCGTGGGGTATGCTGCTTGCTGTGGCATGGCCGCTGCTGCGGCCAAGCTGTCGCCCCAGGCCGCTGTAGCCTGAGGCGGCTCCACGTTTCCGAAATATGACAAATGTGCCTGCTGTCCAAGATGTGTCGTGTTCGAGTGTACGCCATGCGGATGATGTTCCAAGATATGTGCCTGCTGTCTGATGTGTCGCTTGAGAATGTTCATCTGATCTTCCGTCGTCGGAAGCTGTCCATTCAAAGGAATGAGTAGCTGAGACCACATGACCGGTGCTACTTTGAGTGCTCGCAATAATATCCACGCTAGTCCTTGTGGTCCCAGCGCAAAGTTCTGCAAGAGGTTCGTCGCCCTGTACACCGTGATGTCGAACCTCGAGAGTGCTTGATCTATCGATTCGCCTTGCATTCTGCTGAAACCCAACAACTGAGAAAGAAGTCTGATGCTTTGTTCTTCGTCCAGCTCGCCGAAACGTCGTAGAAGATTCCGCAACAGGATGGTGATGCCTGTCACGTGCAACATCTGCTGCTGTGTGTAGTCCCACTCTTGCCGTCCATTTGATAACTCATCCACGTTCATCTCTCTGCCCAGGACCCTTGCCATGCCTCCGAGCTGTAGAACTGCGGCTGGTCCCTGTCGTGCGATGGGTACCTCGGTGGCCGCGCTCCACAATATCAAGTCCTGAGCATAGACCCACAACGGGTAACTGGCCTCGAGCTCTGGCGACCACGATGGAGGCGTCTTCGTGTTCGCCATGTCGGGCTGAGGGTGTTGGCCAGGAGTGAACCGTTGGGGTCCGCCTTGCTGCACTGGGGGCTGTCCGCCCTTGCCGCCGAACATAGCTGATACCAAAAAACTAAGGGATATCTGAATTGACTGTCGAGGCCCTCTTTCTCGCACTCTGTACTGTCGAGGCTGTCGCCCGCAGCGCCGGTGTCGGAGAAGTTGATGAGCCCGCAGTGGTACCGTCGCCTGGCGGCGGGAGGGGGAGCAGCTCTGCTCCGCTACCACGTGCAGTGGCACGTGATATGACTCCTCTCCTCCCGACAGCGATGGCGGCGCAATGCAGTAGGGCTGTGTTTTCTGTATCGAACACTCGCACAGTACACAACTATGACGCGTCTTGAGCCAGTACATTACAGTACGGGCTGTGAATTCGCCGGGCCCCCGGTGAGCTCTAGAGGGCCCCGAGAGAGGAACGTGAGAGGCATGGAAACAAACTAACTGGAGGAGGAGGAGGAGGAGGAGGAGGAGGAGGAGGAGTAGGGGGAGGTCGGGGAGGGGGGGAGGAGGAGGAGGAGGAGAGGAGGAGGGTGGAGGAGGGGGGTCTGGGCAGAAGGCCGCCCTCTCGTGGCTGGTCTGGGGGGGGGGAGGGAGCAGGCTGCTTCGCAGGGGATGAGCTGGATCCGTCAGTGGATCAGTCCTGTGTACTGACGCAGAAGCTATGAGGCTTCTTTTTGGCAGTGGGCCAGCTTGTGATGCCAATCCATGCCCACCCCGCCCCATCTCCAGGGACCTCGCGTCCCCCTGTGACGCTGGGATGGGGAGGGGTGGGGAGTGGTGGGGGCACTGCTTGTCTGGGAGGGCTGTGACCCCCGCCCCTTGATTACAAACTTTGGAGCGCTCAGGGTGAAGAGCCGGTCCCGGGACAGGGCCCACGCCCTCGCCATCGCTCGGACGTCCATTCCCTGTGTTTTTTTTGGTTTCGTGCGTGGTTTTCTCGCCGAATGATCAATCGGGAGCGGCCAAGAGGGGGGTGTCCAAGAGGGGGGGGTGCAAATCATGACCGGCGGCATGTGCGCGGCCCAGCGGGGGGGCCTGGGACGTAATGAAATAAGAAGAGGCGCCATGAAATCTGGGGAAAAATCATGGCCCGCGCCATGAAATCCACCCCCCCCTAGTCATCACCCCCCTCTGTTCCGCTCCCGAATCAAGGATGCTCCTCGATGGTCCTCGCCGAAGGAAAAATCCACACGTCCTAGCGATGCCAAGTCCTCCTCCTCCTCCTCCTCCTCCTCCTCCTCCTCCTCCTCCCCCTCCCTTTTCCCTCCTCCCACCCCCACCTCCTCCTACCCCCCTCCTCCTCCTCCTCCTCTCCTCATCTCCTCCTCCTCAATCATCCTCCTCCTTGCTACTCGGTCCTCCTCCTACTCCTCCTCCTCCTCCCCTCCTGCTCCTCCTACCCCCTCCTCCTCCTCGGACGCCCCCCCTCATCCCTCCGTCCCCCCATCCCTCCTCTCTCTACTCCTCCCTCCTCCTCCTCTCCTCCTCCTCCACCTCCTCCTCCTCCTCCCCCTCCTCCTCCTCCTCCTCCTCCTCCTCCTCCTCCTTCTCCTCCTCCTCCCTCGGGCCGAGATAAGAGCAGAGCGGCGAACACACAGGGCGCACGCGATCGCATGGCCGTTCCCTCGCCATCGCTCGGACGTCCATTCCCTGTGCTTCTTTTGGTTTCGTGCGTGGTTTTTCCGCCAAGTGATCAAGGATGCTCCTCGATGGTCCTCGCCGAAGGAAAAATGCACACGTCCTCGCCGAAGGAAAAATGCACGCGATCACATGACCTGTCCTCCGAAACAGGGAGCGGCGAGAATTCTCTGGGAACCCGTTCCCTCGGGGCCCCTCCTCTTCAGGAACTCCGCTCATGACCGATCCCCAAACCCAGTCGAGCAGCGAGGAGGATCGAGGAGGCGAGAACCTCTGACACCCCGTTCCCTCGGGGCCCCTCCTCTTCAGGAAATCTGCTCATGACCGATCCCCAAACCCAGTCGAGCAGCGAGGAGGATCGAAGAGGAACGAGGAGCAGCGGGGGGATGAGGAGGGGGAGGATACAGTCAGCCCGTACGACAAGGACGCACGAAAAAAGGATGCTAAGACCTTGGAAGGCCGTGTCGACACTCTGCGAGAGGGGGGCGCGGCCAGCGAAATCGGCCAAGGATGGGCCGAAGGGGAAGGGCGCAAGGGTAACCTTGGACACTCGCACATCATTACTATGCGGGT